TAAACGAAATTGGGTGAATACATCTTATAACTGATTTACTGGTAGTCATGAAAAACAATACTTAATTCGATTAAAGTAGTTCTTAAGACTATCCGTCAGGTGGTTTAGGGATAGTTCCGGCCTTAAATCACCTTAAGCGATCTAGGCTGGCCAAGTTCCTGTTCCAAAGTTAAGGATAATCTCGAAAACTTCTTACAACGAAAGTATGTGACATTATCGATTGTACAGACGAGCCCAGGTCTATGATGTGTATTCGTGTGTTTGACTGATGAGGATGAAGGATTGGTAGTTGACTTTTCCCACAATCATATGAGTAGACCTTACGTATCCCATGAATTTCACGTAGCGCTACTTTTCCAAAAGGTTTTTTCATCCAGTCTGAAGGGGACTGCAATTTAAAACCATACATAAACTGGTCTCATCAGCACCCCCAGCGGGACTTGAACCTGGGTTGAGGTTGAGCAGCATATAAGCTCGACACATCAGCGCATCGGCTAGACTGCACCGAGTGCAGACACTTTATCATATCACCTTGTGTGAGGGGATTGTTGATGTAGCAAAGTTGAATTTACTATAACAATCGGCTACATTGCATAGATTGTGTTAATAAAAAGGCTTTCGAGACAATCAGTAGATCAGATAGATGAAATGTATTCGCCCTATTCCGGTAAGATGATAAAGGACTGTGAAATTTAAAGGAAACGCAAGGCTCTATGGAGAATAACATGAAAGCAATGTATAAAGAGAAATTAACACTTTCATCAGTAGTTCCTTAATTTAGAGAATATTCAGATCCTCCTGCTAGATCAGGCTGCTACAAGGTTTTGTACTCATGAGGTAAGGTCTTTGTGGAGGAGATGTGCCGACTCATTCAGACGAGACTATGCAAACACACAAACGCTTGTAAAGGTCTGCGAGTCCAAAAATGTGAGCTCGCTAATCACATTTTGCCAATGCAGGACACTAAAAATAGACTGATCCAAAACCTAACGTTTTGCGAGTTATGGGGACTCCACGTGAAAGCGTAAGATTAGAGAGTCTATAGAAATTAACAAAACGGACAACGTCCTGATTAGGAGGGACGAGTGTGGAAAAGTAAGTAGGAATTTTCTGTGGCTGTTGGAAAGGGAGCGAGAGTGGGTGCAGCAAAAGCAAGAGAAGGAGGCTTGATTAGCCTCGTGTCTGGCCAGGACTGTCACACTGCCCATGACATGAGCATTACATACACACAATAGACAATGGTACAAGCCCAAACATGTTTCAACGTTAGACGATCGTACGCCAGTTTGTGTGTGTGTGTGTGTGTGTGTGCGTGTGTGTGTGATGAAACAGTTAGCTTTACTCATTTGCAAGAAGGTAGAATAGAGTTGAAGTAACCAACCAAATCAGAGGAGGCCTCATTGAGATCGCAATGTTGGATGTACATGGTTTTGCTCTATTTCGTAAAGTATGAAATCTTGCTCTGATATTGTCTTTCACAGCACGGACGAATGATTAGCCCAGTTTCATCGGGATCGCGGGACGGTGAGCCGAGGACCTGTTCGCACAACTCATCCGTCTTCCCAACTCGACAATCCTCCCTCTGTTTCCGGTGAGACCACATCACGAATTCCTTCCAACCAACTTTCCCTTCGAAATGGAGAGTCATGCCAGAAAGTAACGCTTTCTTGTATCTTTGTGGGAAAATTCATCAATCAGCCCTTAAAGTAGCTTAACCCACTTAGTTCGACCAAATCTTTATTCAAGCATTAGGCTTGTTGACAGGCACGAAAGTGGAGCTGGAGACTCATCTTCTGTTGGCGGGAAGGTCGAATCTTTAGACATGTCACGTCGTTTAAGATCATACAGATACATTGTCAAATTTCCCCTTGCCCCGCCACCCAAATAGTTTCCTCACACCTGCTTGGCTACAGTTTCGTCTCATAACCAACATCAACGGGACTGGAAACCGGCCCGCCATGGTAACCAACGCCTACCAACGACTCAACTCAAGATTCGATTCTCAAGGCACACTTTTAAGTTGGAATTGTTGGTGAGCCAACTTTATATTTTCCATGTAAATCCCCTATACTACTAGATATTCAAGGAGTAGGCATTGAGAATTTGAGTGGGTCTGGAGCATGAATTTGGAACCCATGAAATGATGTAGGAATGATTGTTGAGTCTTTTCACCATCAAATGGCAAGACCGTAAAACTAGAGCTTAGCAAGCCTAGTTTATCTAAGGCGATTTAAAGAGTGAAGTTTTCGTTTTTATACAATCAAGTAAGTAGAAGGTATGAAT